TTATATAGTCTCTACACATGAAGTTCAAGTTCAAACAAATTAAATGTATGCATACAATGGTAAATGAGTTATGCAATAAAGAAGAGAGGTACATAAGATGATGAGTAATTGATATATTGGGTGACAATGTACCAAGTTCAGCTCAAATCCGAGAAACAAGAGACAAGCAAAATCACACTATATCAAGGGGAGTGAGGTTAAAGCCAAAGAATACGTAATCAAATGAAGACATCTAGTTACCAGGTGAGTAAGGAAAGACTGATAACTGCTTCTTTCTGAACGCAATAATCAGGTTTCACTAGTTTGACAGAGATTACTTCGGTAAACTTGAGGAGAACTGAGCTTTTCTTGTCTATTGGCAATTTTAAGGAATTCGCGATTTCCACCTCATGACCTGTATCAAGGAGATGCCTGACTATGGCACTATTGTAAGCGTTTGTTCCCTTGAGATGTAGGCTTTTCGGTACATATTATTACATATACCCTAGAACCCATATTTTAGAGAAAAAGGTGTACTCACTTAGAAACATTTTTATGAAGCTTAATTAAATATCTTACGTTCTTTGACAATCAAATATAAAAATAAAATAATCTCTTCTATTACAGAAACAAAGATTAATCACATGTTTGTCTACAGGAATTCGATTGACGTCATGTGTGATCAAGAACTAACCTCAGTTAGAGAACTGCTGAAAACTAGGGAGTATTTGGATAGTTGTTTCGCTCTAGTTGTGGACTCTTCATCAGCACCCACCCAGGGCACTTAATCACTGACCACTCAGCCACTGACATGGAATCCAGACTAATTGATATATCACGCTCGCATTACTGACTGACTATAGTATTAACAAGCTTGAAGCGCTAGTGAGAAGTTATGACCGGCAGAGTCCATCAAATTAAGAGGGTGGATGAAAAATAGTCACCGATAATGCCAGCTGGTGGCTGTGCTATATATTGTGAATCGGCAGAAGTTAGAGTTCATAAAGCAGTGAGTTTCATCCCAGTGACTGATTGGTCGCCTCCTAACCTGAAGATCCTGGGTCCGTCCCTAGTGGAATCACGAACGCTCACTTCTAAAGCGCTTTTAATTAGGTCGAAACAGTTGTCCAGTGCTCACTAGTTTTCCGAAAGTTCTCTAACTGAAGTCAGTTCGTGGTCAAAGCGAAAACTACTATCCACAATTTTTCCATTGGTCTTAAAATCATATTCTGTTTCTTTTCAGTGGTCATTTTATAATAATTAATAATAATTTTTCCTTCACGTTCCCACTGGAACATAGGGCTCCAAGCTAGAGGCTTGAAGTTTCTATAGCAGTGTTTAGCTTTTACAGGATGGGGTTGCTAGCCCCATGCCCAACCTTTCCTCTTTACCAGGATTATTTCTGGTTTAGCGAGGCAAAGGAGTGCGTCGGCCGGGGATCGAACCCCGGACCATCTACATGGTCGGCGAGCGTCCTAACCGCTGTGCCACCGACGCACGGTCATTTTATAGTTGTCCCCTTAAGTCTACACAAATATACAGATTTCTTCATTTTAATTTTCCATTGTTGGGTTGAAAGAATTTAATTGATTTCAACGTAGATTTCATCATGAACTGACATGAGTTACGAAATCACTGGAAGCTAGGGAGCAATAGACAGCTGTTTCATCCTAGTTTGTCACTATTTAACAACCTCTTAAGGGAACGAAAATAAAGACCTACAGCTTATGAAGCGAGTTTCCTGATTATTTAGCTACCGACTTGGAGTCCAATGAATCATGAATTCTAACATCTGCCAATCTGCGCAGTATAGAGTCACTGACATCCAGTGCCATCGACAAGTGCCTGTCCTTACGACTTATTATATAATTTAGTGGAAAGCAACCTGACAGAGTAATAGTTACTTACTGTGCGTTGAAATCTTTTCGATGATAAAAATGAGTAATCGGGATTTAATATACATATTAACGTTCAAATTAAGTGTTAAGAAACATTTTAAAAATATGAAATAAAGTCGTTTTTGATGTGGCAAATAATCTTGACACAGTTTTAAATGTCCTTAAGTTTGTATTAATGCAAAATCGAATAGCAAATAGTGCTAAAATTTAGTAAAATAGTTATGATAAATGTGAATATTATATGAAATACAAACCATTTAATTACTGCCTTTCTTTGTATTATAAAAGCACTATTCAAACAAAATATTAAAATTAAACATTTAAAATATGAGTAAAGAAAAAGATTATAGGGTACATAAGTGTTATTCCTTTCATCCTATAAAGGAGTGTATAATTTCCTAATGTACTTTAAAACTTGTAGAAAAGTATTTTTGTAGCAAAATTACACAAAGGGATGGGGTGAATGTGCATCCGTTGAAGTATCTATCATATGCTGATCTCATCATATGTGAAGTCTGTAATTAAGAAATCCACAGAATTCTACCGATTAAATAACGTTTGATGACTTCCTTAAAGAGATTTAGGAAATGAATAGTTGTGGTTTATTTCAGTCTTTTTATAATGGAAAAGTTTCCATCCTTAATATGAGTTTCAAATAACGCTGAAGTTTTGGGTTAGTAGAATTCCATAGGTCGTGTCTATAAGTAGAGTACAGTATATGCCAGTAAGTTATAGCGTTCACACCATGTATTGAATGTAGGACCTGTTGTTCTAAAACCCAAATTTTTATCCGTTAGGCTGCTGAGTTGGAAAGTTTTTCGAAAAATGTCTGTTAAGTACATTATTTAATGTTCTGTGTGATGTGAACGACATCCTCAGAGCACGCCGAATAACTGAAACTTGTTGGGTGAAATAAACAAAATAAGCATATAATTTTTTTGAAATGCTTTCTAACCTTGAACCACAGAGTTCTACACATTGGTATATCCTACAGTGTTCTTAATAATTTTCTTATACATTTGGGCTTTTGGAGAGTATTATATTTTAATCATTTTAAGTCGATCGAACATGCAAAATATATAGACAAACAGAAGGTGTAACAATGGGATCACCAATATCCCCTATTGTAGCAAACATATTTATGGACAGCTGGGAAGATAGTGCACTTAATACATTTAATCCTAGTCCAAAGATATGGTGGTAATATGTGGATGACACTTTCACTCAGTGTTAAAAACAGAACATATCTCTAGCTTCTTGACACATATAAACTCACTAGTAGAGGGCATAAAATTCACATTTGAGTTGGAAAATGAACACGGAGAATTAGCCATGTTAGATTGTAAATGAAAACCAATAAAAGAAGGTAAACTACACACTAGCGTTAATAAAAAAACCCAACGCAGTCTAATAGACTCCATTTCGTCTAATCCTTTAACTGTTAAGGCAGGATTAATTAGGTGTCCAAAAAACCGACTAATAGCACTAAACAGTAAAAGAAAAAACCGTAACGATGAAATAAAGCAGGTGGAAGAAGCATTGATGTTAAATAACTATCCAACAAAATTCACTAGGAAGATCAAAAAAGGTCAAAGGAAAACAAAAATAATGATAACATAAATAAGAAAGAATATAGGGTACCTACAGTTTCACCATATGAGGAGGGAACATCTGAGACACTACCTAGGATTCTTAATAAAGCAGGAATGAGAGTGGCATTTAAACCTACAAACTCACTCAGGTAGGACAAGCTCTGTGGGCTAAAAGACCCGGTGGACCGAATTAAACCAAATTATATAATTTACAAAATACCTGGCAATGACTGTGAGTTAAGCCAAATACATAGGTTAAACTAGTAGATGAGGAGTAGTGAGATTGTCGGAATATAAGAATTTTGGCTAAGGTAAGAATGGTTGACCCCGAGAAGATAAGTAATTTAGAACAAAGCTCAGCGACTGCACTGCATGCATTAACACAAAATCACACAATAGGGTGGGAGAGGGATAAAATTCGTAGAAGTAATATAGGTAAGTGGAGTGAGACAGGTTGATTACTGAATCATAGCTGGTTCATCGAGTCTACACCCAATACAACACATGCAACAGAAGTGACTCAATGCCAATACCAGAGATATTGAAGATATTACTACCGGTCAAATCAGAGGATAATAAATAATGTTGAAATGTATGCAGTTCACATTATAATATTCTAACGAGTTATTTATTTATTGTACTATAGAGACATCTTGTTTTTCATCCTTTTGTATTTTATTGATAACACTAATATTATCTCCGAATGTACCTTATTTTATATAAATCTTATTCAAATGTCTAATCATCAGTTTTTACTCATGTATATAAATGAAGCAGGCATCGGTGGCGTAGCGGTTAGGACGCTCGCCGGCCATACTACATGGTCCGGGGTTCGATCCTCGGTCGACGCACTCCTTTACCTCGCTAAGCCAGAAATAATCCTGGTAAAGAAGAAAGGTTGGGCATGAGGCTAGCGACGCCATCCTGTAAATTAAACACTGCTGCAAAACTTCAAGCCACTGGCTTGAACCCCTATGTTCCACTGGAGAACGTGAAGGAAAAAAAATAAATGAAGCATGAAAGTTTTGTGAGTGACTTGATATGATTATGAACTGCAATAAGTTGCTCTCAAAACGTCGTCATCAGTAAATATTACTGTACAACGCTGTGTGATTTATCACAATTAAATTTTATTCATAATCCACTGAGGGATAAAACCTGACATCATCGAGAAAATTTCGTGTAGTGGACAGGCTTCAATATACATAAATTTAACTTGGGATTTAAACAGTTTTATTTGTACATGAATTACAAAAATGTAACACTTCTCTAATGTAAAAAAGGGCGTCAACATGGTTATATATTTGAACTAAATGTATTCGAGTAAAATGGTGATAATGTTGACAGAGCCAACCAATCCTTGGTAATGACAAAAAAAGAAGTTTAAATAAAAAGACATAAAATACAACTGATGAACCAATAAAACAATATTTTGAATTGATAAAGAAATTATATAAAATCCCAAATTTAGTCGAGTAAACAATTGAACAGTTTTAAAATAGTTAAGCGTGACAAAGTTAATATAAACAGCATGCTTATACCAACTAAACCTGCACCGCATTTCAGAGGGAAAGCGGTTATCGATGGCGCTTTCCAGACTATCGGTTTACAGGATTATTTAGGAAAATATGTGGTCTTGTTTTTCTATCCCGCTGACTTGTAAGTTTCTTTTCGTACTGTCTCTTATGTTGACTTAAAAAATATTTATTTAAACATGTCATATATATATATATATATATATATTCAAAGAAATTATTTAGTAAAGTCTGGCGTAACGCATATATTAACCATGCAAAGATTTAGTCAAATAAAGTACGATTCGTATTCGATATTCAACAGATCTAAGCGGTTTAAGTATATGCATATCGATCTGTGGCTTGATTTGAGGTCATATGGAAACACTGATTGTTTGAACTTTGATATAGCACACAAGCCAGTCAACTCACTTAATTCGATATTGTGCAAACTGAAAGATTTAACAGAAGAAGGAAATAAAATGAATACCATTTACAAAATAAATTGTATGAACTGTAACAGGCATTACATCGGCCAAAGTGGGTGTCCCTTTCGAATCAGAATCCAGGAACACAAAACAGCCGTGAAAAGACATGATACATATTCTTTCATATCAATGCATATAGATAATTATGGACATCAGTTTGATTGGGATAATGTCGAAATCTTAGACAGAAGAAACACCAAAAGTGCCAGACAATTCCTAGAAGCCTAGTACTCAAACGAATATGCAATTAACAAACACGCTAATATAGACGAAATATACCAACTGATAAAAAGTAAATCAAGTGACCAGAAAGTTTAAAATGCAAGTCAATAGAAAATGGTCAATACATATGTAGAGATGGTTAATGGGAGACGCAATTCTATCACTCATGAAGAAATTTCAATCATTTCACTTTATGCTAAATATTGAGCTGAAGTTGTTGTCCAAAAGGACAATGAAAGATCCGCGACTAAACCAACCAGCTCAGAGAACACTGTTAATTGCAAATCATTGTTTTACTTTAACATAAATGACTTTTACTACTCGGATGTTAGAATTTAAAGATACTGAAATAATTTAAATTGGAGTTGATACCTTTCTTTATCTTTTCTTAGCTAATGACTGCCTTTTACCTTTCCTATACATGATTCGTTAGTATCTTTAATTAACACCAATCAACTTTATATTTATCAACTTGTGGAGCCACTAATCATAAAATAATTTTGCGTCTCTCAATATGAAGTATCGGTGGTTCAATGCTGAGAGATTTGCCAGACATTTAGGTGGTCAGGATTCACTTCCCGGTTGACTCACCCCTGAGCTTCGCCTAGTTTACTAGGCGGTAACAAGTCTGGAAAAATAAGAAAGATTGGGCATGAGTCCAACAACACCATCGCGTAGAAACAACATTCCTAATGAATCTTCATAGTTAGAATCTCTATGTTCGACTAAGAACGCAAAGAATAAGAAAGGATTTCAATGTGGATTGTTTACTTTTGTGCCCTTTGAGTAGATGAACAAAAGTACTTAGGTCACTAAAAACTCTCATCTATCTTCCATGTCAGCTCCTGTATGGATGCTTCAACAAGGGTTTAAGGTTAACCTGATACTATGGCATTCAGGGCGTTTTATACTACTGATTGACTTATATGAGTAGTTGGATACCAATAATATCTAGTAGTAGTGTTTGTTAGCCAGATACAATCGATCTAAACACTCTACGCATATTTCGCTCGTTTGGGTCCAAGCTCATCAACGATGTACCCGCTTTGGTTTAGCTCAGACAGCCGAATCAGTTCAGATTGTATAAACGACAAATAGCGAATTTAATTCAGTGTACTGAAAGCTTACACAACTACCTAACCATAATAGGGGTGATTTGCCGAACTGCGTAAATTGGCAGTTAACTAGTAGATCGTTCCAATTTCGCTTTTGACAATTATGTAAATGCTTCTCATTACAGGATAAACATTAGTGATAAAATACACTGAATTATTTCAGGGACTTCTGATCAAATTCAGCTTCCTTGACTATTTGTGCCCTTTGCAAATCCACATCCACTGAATAAGGCACTTTATAGCACATTTCCAGTCAGGAAATTTGATGAGAAATATAAAGTCAACTGAACAGAATCTTGATATGTGCATAATGAGATTCATCAAATCTTTTCAGCTTACGTAAAATATCACATTTAAAACCAAACGAATCAATCGAAAAGCCACATTATTATTATTAGTGTTGCCTTGGGTCCCGAGTGAAACATCAGGCTTCAACAAGTCATCTCCAATTTGTCCTATTTTTTGCAGTCGCCTTTAGATGGCCGTACCACGATTGCCCATAATCTCTCATCTCCTTCTCCTCACACGATCTCTTTCATGTCACCCTCGCAACCCCAACCCACGCGTTGTTTTCCATTCGGATTCCACTCCAGAATGGCCCGCATTGCACGCTATGTCATTTGACGGCCTCCTCAACGTATGCCTGATCCATATCCATTTTCTCCTAAATATTTGTTGACTAGTCGGCTCTTGGTTCGTTTGTTCCGGAGTTTCTTGTTGCTAATTTTTTTTCTCGCAGGTTGGCCATTTGATCTTCAGTAAAGAATTAGCCAACGAAGGAAGCAGATGTTGATAAAAGTCTGTAACCCGTTGGGAATCCTTTTTGTGACATACGGTGCACGTTTTTGACCCATATAGAAGAAGTAAATGACTTCACGTGCGTCGGTGGCACAGCGGTTAGGATGCTCGCCGACCATGCACATGGTCCGGGGTTCGATCCCCGGCCGACGCATAAGCCAGTAATAAAACTGGTAAAGAGGAAAGGTTGGGTATGAGGCTAGCAACCCCATCCTGTAAAAATTAATACCACTACCGAAACTTCAAGCCTCTAGCTTGAAGCCCTATGTTCCACTGAAGAACGTGAAGGGAAAAAAATGACTTCACATTTATGATGAATATCCGAATCTTGTTGTTTGTGCTGCAGAGTGCAGAAGACTGCCAAACTGATTTCAGATTGATGAAGGCGTAACTTTCCCTTACGATTGTAGTTGGCTTTGACATCTTTATCCATTCCGAGTGGCTGTAGTTGATACGGCGCTTCCTAGATACGTGAAGAGAGTAACCTCTGTCAAATCTCTCCCGCTGATGGTGATTGGTGCTGGTTAATGTTGTTGCTTTTGGTTGGTTATCTTCATCACCGACTTTTTCTCTATGTTCACCTGTAGTCCTGTCTTCGCTGTCGGCCTCTTCTGTCATCTTGTTGGTTTCCGCCTGCAAGTCTTCCAGTCTGTCTGACATTCAAGTATGAATCATTTGCAAAATCCAAATTTTATAGAGTCTTCTTATCGGTCCAGCATATTGCTGTCTTCTCTCGTTCCCCATATTTTGCCATATAATCCAGTCTACCAAAATATCGACAGCGTCGATCGAGAGGTGATTTGGAAACTACTTCGCTACTACGGGTTGCCATCGACAACTATACATCTCATCCAACAGTTGTATGACAATGCTGCATGTCAAGTAAGCCACAACGGGAAACTTACAGAAGCCTTAGAAGTGAGGACTGGAGTAAGCCAAGGCTGCCTACTATCGCCAATGATTTTCCTGATTGCAGTAGATTGGATAATGTGACAGACAGAGGGCAATGAAGAAACAGGCATAAAATGGACTCAAACTAAATTCTTGGAGGATCTGGACTTCGCTGATAACATATATATGTCTGATTTCCCACAAACTGGAAGATATGCAAGTGAAAAGCAACAAGCTGGCAGAAGAAGCATCCAGATATGATATGACTTCAGGTGAACATAGATAAAACAGAGGTGATGAAGATTCCTGGCCAACAGCAGCAACAACAACAACAGACAACAATCAGCTTAAATGGGAGGAACCTGAAAGAAACAACCTCCTTTACCTGCCTGGGAAGCATCGTTTCAACTACAGGAGAACGGAACTGACGAGGATATCAAAGCCAAAATCGGAAAAGCAAGACAAGCTTTCATTACTCTCAAGTCTGTATGGAGGTCAACAGCACTCAGCATCAAAAATGAGATCCGGATTTTCAACTCCAATGTGAAGTCGGTGCTACTTGCTACAAGGATCAGAGACTTGGCCAGAGCGTCATAAAGAGCATCTCAAACAAACTTCAGACCTTCATTAACAGCTGTCTCCGCTCAATACTCAAGATCAGATGGCCAGAAAAGATCAGCAACAGGGATCTCTGTCAGTGAGCGAACCAACTCAGCAGGAACCGATTGTGAAACAAATAGGCAAGAAGAAATGGAGATGGATTGGCTGGCCATATTCTGAGGAAACAAACCATCAAGTGACATCACTAGACAAGCCATCGCTCGAGTGGAACCCGAAAGGGAAGCGGCGAGTTGTACGTCAGTGCAAGGTGACTTGAGAGAGGTCATGTGAAGAGGAGATGAAAGCGTATGGGCAGACTTGGAGCCAGGTGAAAACTCTAGCAGAGAACCGAACGCAATGGAGACGCGCGGCTGAAGCCCTATGTTCCTCTAGGAATTAAAGGAAATAATAATGATAAAATATCGAAAAGCTATAGATAATTTGAAAGATCAAGTTTGCAGCTACTAGATTAATAATTAAATGAAAATTCACTAGGCAGGATAAAACGTATGTCGAAAATATGGTTTAAGAAGAGCTTTAAAAAAGTTCGCTTAAAGATACAATACTTTAAGTAATCGGAAATACTAAGGGGAATATTTATAATTCTATGAGTAAATGATGAAGTAATTTATGCAGTGTGTTTTTGTTTTTCATTCCTTTAACAGCACATTTGTGTGTCCAACTGAAATCATAGCGTTCAGTGAACGTAATGAAGAATTTGAGAAAAGAAATTGTCAAGTAATTGCTTGCTCAACAGATTCTGAATACTGTCATCTGGCATGGACAAAAATGGATCGTAAAGCAGGTGGACTAGGTCCTATGAAAATACCTATTCTAGCTGACCCAACGAAAATAATTGCACGATCATATGGTGTTCTTGACGACGTGGAGGGTAATGCATTTAGGTGAGTCTTATTTCACCAAATGCACGAATACAATCATTCATATGTTTAATAAGGACAGCTTATACAGGTAATAATATCACTACCTTAAGGGAATTGAAATGAAGCGACACTACAAAATTAGATTATGGGTTTCATCAGATTCTGGATTGATCCCACTGCAGATTTCCTCACGAACCGGCACCAATTAGACATCACTGAAAACCACGGAACACTGGACAGCTGTTCGATACGCTTCATCAGTGCACACCAAGGACCACACGAGGATCGGGCCTGGGGCCTTCAAGTTACAATGACAAGTTGGTCGACCATTTAGCCCCTTTGTGGTGGTGTGATGCAGATAATGTGTGCCAACGGAATACTATTCTCACATATTCCCACAGTTCAATACAGCGTTAGCAACAAAATACGATATATCTATTTGAACATCTTATGTAATGTTAGAGACGGAATACTTTCCCAACAGTTCAATACTGCGTTAGTAACAGAATACTATGTATTTGAATATTCTATTTCATGTAGTTTGATGTAAGCCGAAATCACACGCTCAATGACTGGCTAGGGAATATAAAACTGTCCATATATATAGGTAAGCATACTTGTCTAAATCATTCAAAGTACACTTCATTACTTCATATTACTTTTGAGAAGGGAAGTAAGAAAAATAACTCCAAGATATTCACTATTGATTACTACTCATGGTTATATCTGCTAACATCTCAAATCATAGATTCAAATTACCTCTTGGACTTCACCCAGGGAGTCGTGATGCAGTGAGGGATGCTAATCTAAAACATATATCCTTCATCCTACAGAGTCACTTTATAGACTAACCATCCGTTCGCTTTTTTCACTCAATCCCAAGGATGTCAAAGAGTGGGCAGTATGGGGTTCTCTAAGATGACATCTGTAACACATGCCCAAGCCACCGAAACGGGTGTTCTGAGATGACAACACTCAAAGAAAGATGGCCTTCACCGTATCCCAACAAACGCTTCTGGACCTCAGAATTATTTACATGATGGTGCCACCAGTTGCTAGCGATTCTACGGAGTCAGTGAAAATCGAAGTTGTCACACATCCTCATCTCAGAGAGGCCACGTTTCACAAGCGTAGAGAAAGAGTGTGAGCATTGTACACTCGACCTTTGACAGCCAGGCTGACGTTATGACGGTGTCAGGGGTGATCCAAGTTGCCGTATGCCCAACTGGCTTTCACTATACGCCTAGGGATTTAATCCGTCACACCTAGTGCAGGACTTACAAAGCTACCTAGATACATAAACTTATCGTCAACCGCAAGGACTTCACTAGTGGTACAAACATATACATTCACGTGTTAAGCTAATTTTTCTAGTCAGTCAACCATACTATATTGCACTATTATCTTAGACTAGCAATGCAATCAACTGTATTAAATCTTATTTCATTCTATCATATTTTATATTATTAAAATTACAGAGGACTATTCATAATCGATACGAAAGGTATACTTCGTCAGATAACAGTTAATGATCGTTCAGTGGGTAGATCTGTTGATGAAGTTATCCGACTATTGGATGCATTCCAGTTTGTTGAAAAGCATGGAGAAGTATGTCCAGCTAATTGGAAAGCTGGCAAAAAGACAATCAAACCAGATCCAAGTGCCAGTAAAGAGTTTTTCTCTGAAGCAACATAAAATTTTGTCTAGCTAGTTTTTATCAGTTACTTCATCTGTAAAACAATGAACAAGATTATCGTAGTTGAATTTATTTCACTTTAATTATTATCACACAATAAATAGAAATACGTGTAATAAAACAAAATACTTCTAGAAATGATCACGGTAACCTACGAATGAATGATACGAATGGAATGATACTCTTCAAATAAAATCTCGATTCCAACTTATATGGGACGATGTTGATGGCGAGGTACGAACGTTACTCAGTGATATAAGTAAAAATGTACTGAATAACGGTGGATGAAACTTTTACTTCAGGCTTATACATAAAGAACAATGAAATTTGAATTTAAGTAGCCTTATAGATAATGTCTAAGGCTATGTCAACAGAATTCACAAGTGGAGGAACACATAAACAACCAGTACAAGTAACTAAACTTTACTGACTTATAAATTAGTAAAAATATAAGAGAAGCAATACTACAAAAGAAGAAACGAATTCACCATACATTTAGTATACATTAGAGAAGAGAAGACATTTCCTAGAGAATATAAACAATGATACTCAAGAGGCAACGAGTACTATCGATTAAATTGACTCAACCTTAACAAAGATTTAGTCTCGAATTCGGGCTACAATTCATGGGTTAGTTAATTCCAATATAGTGATTCAGTGGTAATCGTGTCTAGCTTTTTAACTGAAGGCCCTGCTTGGTTCGATTTTTGGCGGCATCGTGAGTAGTGTATTGCCCAACTGGCTTTCACTATACGCCTAGGGATTTAATCCGTCACACCTAGTGCAGGACTTACAAAGCTACCTAGATACATAAACTTATCGTCAACCGCAAGGACTTCACTAGTGGTACAAACATATACATTCACGTGTTAAGCTAATTTTTCTAGTCAGTCAACCATACTATATTGCACTATTATCTTAGACTAGCAATGCAATCAACTGTATTAAATCTTATTTCATTCTATCATATTTTATATTATTAAAATTACAGAGGACTATTCATAATCGATACGAAAGGTATACTTCGTCAGATAACAGTTAATGATCGTTCAGTGGGTAGATCTGTTGATGAAGTTATCCGACTATTGGATGCATTCCAGTTTGTTGAAAAGCATGGAGAAGTATGTCCAGCTAATTGGAAAGCTGGCAAAAAGACAATCAAACCAGATCCAAGTGCCAGTAAAGAGTTTTTCTCTGAAGCAACATAAAATTTTGTCTAGCTAGTTTTTATCAGTTACTTCATCTGTAAAACAATGAACAAGATTATCGTAGTTGAATTTATTTCACTTTAATTATTATCACACAATAAATAGAAATACGTGTAATAAAACAAAATACTTCTAGAAATGATCACGGTAACCTACGAATGAATGATACGAATGGAATGATACTCTTCAAATAAAATCTCGATTCCAACTTATATGGGACGATGTTGATGGCGAGGTACGAACGTTACTCAGTGATATAAGTAAAAATGTACTGAATAACGGTGGATGAAACTTTTACTTCAGGCTTATACATAAAGAACAATGAAATTTGAATTTAAGTAGCCTTATAGATAATGTCTAAGGCTATGTCAACAGAATTCACAAGTGGAGGAACACATAAACAACCAGTACAAGTAACTAAACTTTACTGACTTATAAATTAGTAAAAATATAAGAGAAGCAATACTACAAAAGAAGAAACGAATTCACCATACATTTAGTATACATTAGAGAAGAGAAGACATTTCCTAGAGAATATAAACAATGATACTCAAGAGGCAACGAGTACTATCGATTAAATTGACTCAACCTTAACAAAGATTTAGTCTCGAATTCGGGCTACAATTCATGGGTTAGTTAATTCCAATATAGTGATTCAGTGGTAATCGTGTCTAGCTTTTTAACTGAAGGCCCTGCTTGGTTCGATTTTTGGCGGCATCGTGAGTAGTGTATTGCTAGGAGGTCGAAAACTAGGTAGAAACAGCAGTTTAGTGTCCGATAGCTTAAATTGGTTTACAATGAAATCAGAAGTAAAGTTTAATCGGCTTTTTGTAACTAAAAGTGGGCGAAGCTCAACTATTAAGAAAAATATATCTACAGTATTGTATTTATTTTTGGATGACATATTCCATAAAAGTAATTAAAGGAGACACAAGTAGAAAGGTTGAAAAACATATCAAGCTGACTGAATTTCAACATAGAACCTTACACATAAGTACAGCAGTTTAAGTCGCCACACTCCATGTGACACACAAAGATAGAGAAAAGAAATTCAAAAGACTTGTAGTGAGCAGAAATGTACCGTAGAAAGAATAATAATATGCAAAAGAACAGGAAGGTTTAGTGGACATACAAAGAATTCGCACCACTGGGATCGACTTTTAGCCATTTCACCAACATTCCCCAGTCATCACTACTTATCGTCCCGATGGCCCCAGCTACGCGATGCATAGAGATTGAGAGTGTTAACGTTCACAGATAGTACGACGCCCATTAACGCGAAATCTCACACCCGAAACTCCTACAGTATTTGTTCCGCTTAGACAAAAAACAAATCAAAACACCAGCTTGATCGTCCCAAATAGGAACAGAATTTCGGGACCAAAATCGCATTACGAGGATGACTGCTAAACTAGCTAGGAATCGTGCACGAATGACTCTACCGATAGCTGCTACTTGATGTGGTGGTGGTCAGGCTTGCATATCACAATGAACCGACATGCTGTACTGTCTGGAACTCATTTTCCTGCAGGTCCTACCATGTCAGTAAGATTGTTAGGATAGCGATTAGACTAAAATCAGATACCGACATAGTGCAAGATTCTTCCACACTATGCCGGGGGTCTGTGGGCAAAGTCGTACTGCCGGCGAAGAGGGATGTAACAGCATGTCAACTAACAATGGTTCACGGGGAAGGGGACCAGTTGGTGTTGGTAGCAACATGTCCTAGACATTTCAATGAATGCAGCTGTAGAACTCCACCGACTAACTTACCCTCCTTACCTAGCACTCTACGCCTAACTTCATTATTTATCCCTGCATTATACCACTTAGCGCGGGAAATAGCCACCCCTTTCATGTTTCTCACTCTCAACAACCATGTCGCCCAACCATAAAGGAGGACAGACCAAACTACTGAGTACACACTTCCCTAGATCGATAACTGGACATCATGCCTACTTCAGAGATGAGGTAACCTGGAAAATTCTGCCCGAGCTCTTTGTATCCATGCTGGGCGCAGTCCTAATGGAGAGATTGCTGACAGAACCTCAGAACAAAAAACCTACTGCGGAAAAGTTAGTGAATGACATGCATGAAACACTTTGTTACTTCAGAACAATGACTGAAAATTAGTTCTAATGGATAAGGTATTCTGTTTGTGATATAAGAGGAAGAACAGCGTACACCTTAGTGACAAGACTACCAGCAAGTTTAAATGTTTATCTTTGTGAAGTAGTGAATACTCAAATACAGGATGTCAACATTTAAGAAATAACAGCTGGCTATAATGAAGTGGCAATGAGTATTTAACATACACTCAAGAAGTTATTGCACTGTTGGTGCAGATTCAAATAAGCGTACACTGTTCACATATGACCACACCAGAGATCGAACACAGCTTCTAAATTGTGAGGTGAACCGATTGACCATTTAGCCACAAGGACGTGGAAAGCAATTGTTGTTTATCTTCTCTAAATGAAAGTAGTTAAATGTAACCACTGTCTCTATTACGGATTTAACTGAAAAAAATATATGCGACAATTAGAAAATCGTGATAGCAATAGTAAGTTTGATTTGCTTAACCATCAAATCAGTTAGAGTGAATTTGGAATAAATATTTGCACACCACAAACAGTTCTAATTTCATTTACACTTCGAGCAAAATTACTACACTTTGGAATACCAATTATTGAAATTCCCCACTCATAAGTAACTCAGTTTATACATTTTGCTTGAAATATTGCCAAATTAGAACTTACCACTGTGTGCTAGCACAAATTAATACAATTTATTCAGAATTTTATTGAGACATCTAGCAACAAACACCATTCGCTAACTACACTTATACACGATTCATGTAGGGTTGACCTTGAATAATAGCGATTGCCTTTGATCAGAGATGCCGTTAATAGACCAAATGACTTATGTAATAGTGTGATGATGTGTACTACTGATCAATTTATATGAGTAGTTGGAGACCACTGACGTGAAAAGGCGATGATTGTTAACCGAATTTTAGCCATCTTAACACCGTACGCCAATTTCAGTCATTTAGAGCTGAGTGCACCAGTGATGTACCGGATATGACTTAACTCAGAAAACTCAATCAGTTTACCCGATTTAGGAATCCAATTCGTCACTTGCGAATGTGTTTCTCAGTTAATCTTCACGTATCATTACTGTCATCGTGTTCAATTGCCAGAAGCTGTGAAGCCCCTACAAAAGCCGGTTTACTGAAAGATTTGTCTGCTGAGCACTAAATCATGTGACACAACAAACAACAGTAAACGGGATTATGACTAAATTGTTTCAAGTCTGAAAGACGACTGCGACTTCTGTACCCCTATATGACGAATTCATTCCATTTTGAAATTTTTATATGCATATATAGTTTTGGAACCAAAATAATTTCAGCGATACCTTCCATCCCTTTCTCTATACATCAAAGAAAACAAAAGGCTACTAAAACGCAAGTGCCTAAAATCACTCTTTACTGGTACACATCCTTCGTTGTAGGTGAATAAAGAGAAATGCTTGAGCTTTGTTCAAGTAAACTGATGAATCTTAAGCAACTTTTTGTGCAGAAATTTTGTATACTACTTATCTGAACACAATTAGGAAAAATGGAACAATGATGGAGTATGTTGTTGAAGAAAACTGAGAAATAAAATCAGAATTACTGCTCTGGTTTAGGTATCTTCAAGACTTATTCATTAAAAAGATTGCCGTATGACGACATTGTAGTCAACCTCACGATCACATTCCAATGAACTATTTCAACATAAGCACATTGTGTAATACTCTAGAATACAACGGACGTAGGAAACAGCTGGTGGTAAAACCATCACGTCCCCAGCCCGATCAGGAAACTAAATCCGTATTTCAGGAAGAACTAGCTAAACACATATCTGTGTTCGACAGCTGTGCTCACCCTGAAGAAGCTTGGAAAAATATCCAGGCAGCCATAGATACAGCTGTAAAAGCTGTGAATAAGGTAAACCCAAAGGTGAGTAAAAACCACTGAATCTCCACCGCCTCATCCGAACTGATAGATGCTAGAAGACTTATTCCGGCGAGCTCCGAATTCAATGAGGAGCGAAAGCTGCACAAGAGGAAACTTACGAAAAGTCTCCGCAAGGACCGTGAACAGTGGTGGGCGACAAAAGCCAAAGAGATGGAGAAAGCCTTGAGGATAGGCAACACCAGGCAACTCTTTGGACTCATCAGGGAAACGGGTGGGAGAAGACAAATCGTTAGTGAGACAATCTCGGAAAAAAATGGCACTATAATTAGCTCCCAGGATAGACGACTGGATCGTTGGAAAGAGCATTATGAGGAGCAGTTTAATTTGCCCACAGCCACGCTCAACCTTCCGAGCATCCAACTAGGCAAAGCAGCGGGACCTGATGGAATGACCCCAGAGGTATTTAAGTACGGTGGAGACAGCTTACTGTCCGGATTAACTGAGGTACTAGGCAGCGTCTGGGAATCAGAAGAAGTCCCATCGGGTTGGTGTAAGTCACTGATTATCCCCATATACAAGAAGGGAGACAAGTCTTCCTGTGATAATCACAGAGGGATTAGCTTGACTAATATAGTATCTAAAGTCTTAGGCTCAATAATCATGCGTAGACTGAGTGGTGCTCGGGAAGCACAAACACGAGAGAGCCAGGCAGGCTTTAGACCAGGAAGAGGGTGTATTGATCATATCTTCACCCTCCGACAGATTCTAGAACATAGGCATTCCTACCGGCGTCCAACAGTCATTATATTTCTTGACCTAAGGCAGCATTCGACTCTGTCGATCGGGAAGTTCTCTGGAGATGCTTGGCTGTAAAGGGAATTCCAAGAAAATATATTGCACTGATTAAGGCACTCTATTCGTACTCATACAGCCAGGTGAGGGCTTACGGCGAGCTGTCATCTGAACTGATGACGACCAGTGGTGTCCGTCAAGGATGCCCATTATCTCCTTTTCTATTCAACTTCATCATAGATGT